ACAACAGGAGCCAAAAAAAACACAGCGTACAGAAAAAATTTTAACTCCTGACACCTATAGACACACCAAACAGCAAACACAGCCTAACCCCTAGACAGATTGACATAAAATCTGATGCTAAAGACCCATTTCCTTTTAATCAGTACATCACGTTGGCTTTCAACAACAACAAGAAAACCCACAAGGCATACTCAAAGACAGAAAAACAAAACAAAATAAAACAAAAAAAGTTTGAAGGGACAAAACCGGTATCAGAACCAGACTCAGAAATGGCAGGGTTCTTGGAATTATCTGACTGGGAACCTAAAACAATGAAATTAATTTGCGAAGGGCTTTTGTGGAAAAGGTGGGCAACATGCAAAAACCATATGCAATAATATAAGCAGAGGTGGAAACTCCAAGAAAGAATCCACAGGAAATGTTACCCCCGTTTCCAAAAAACGGGGTAACAGGGGGCTGGGGCTGAGGCTCAGTGGTAGAGCGCTTGCCTAGCACGTGTAAGGCACTGGATTCGATCCTCAGCACCACATTAAAAAAATAAATAAATAAATAAAATAAAGATATATGTCCATCTACAACTACAAACATATGTTTTAAGAAAAAACATGGTAACAGAAATGAAGAACACCTTTGAAGGGCTAATCGGTTTGTACAACAAGAATCAGTGACCTTGAAGAAATGTCAATAAAAACTTCCCAAACTGAAATGCAAAAGAATGAAGCAGAATGGAGGTAGTGTGCTTCCCCCCAACCCACTCCCCACCAAAAGGGCAAATGCAATCCCCAGATCTAACTCATAGCCTGTCGGCCATTAAAATTATATTAGGAGATTTCCCCCCCTATTTTACAACCCTTAACTGTTACCCATTAAAAAGTATGATATAGTTTCTTGACTGTGCCCTCACTCTCACCAACAATCATATCAACCTCAAAAACCCCAGGTGCAGCTCTAAAATCAGGATGCCTTTGCCTTCACATCACCACTGAGGATAAACTAGAAAGGTAATGGAATTATCGGGAGATTACCACAAAAATCTAAAGAAAAAGTTCCCGAGCCCTAAACCTGATCCTCGCGTGATTTGTGTTTTCTTCTGTTCTGCTCCCACTATGTGATCTTCTAGCAGCTGCAGCAATTCATCCTTATCCCAGGATAAAGATGCTTACCCAGATGTGGTGTCAGCAGGAGAGATGGACCGTTTGGCTCCAGACCCACTAGATGGCCCCTCCCTTGGAGTAGAAGTGCTCACACCTCAACAAAAACCAAAAACACCTTTGAGTTGTACCTAAAGCCAGTTAAAATTCCTAAACCCCAGCCTACTCCTAAAAGCCTTCCACCCGAATCAAAACTAGGTCTTTTCGTTGTGCACAGAGCCAGCCTGATCTCTCTCTCACTGTTCTCTCCCCTCTCCTTGAGGTTAACTTGCCCAATTAAAACTCTGACTGTGTGTTCCTATCCCCTGACCTGGTTTTCATTCCTGTTGTCACCGGGCACAAGTTGCCAGCTCCTGCATCAGAATGTCCAAGAAACTGTGAGATAACTACAAAAAGTATTTAAAAGAGAAGAAATATTTAAAATGATAATAACTAAGAATACCCCCCCAATTATTGACAGATCCCCAAACTATTGAACCAGAAATCTTGGAGAACAACAAGTGGGATAAATGACAAAACAAAACAGAGAAACAATAACTGGGTAATAGTGCTGTTTTCCTAGAGTCCCAAGAAGGCTGAGAGGGAGGAGGAGTCCTTGAGCCCAGGAGTTCAAAGCCAGCCTGGACAACAGTGAGAAACCATCTCATG